TATATATATATATATATATATACAGAATGTCATAAGACTTCTGTAACTCATTAGGAAAAATGTTTAATTTGCTGCAAGAAAATAATCTTCAGCCTTCAGATTATAATCTCTTATTTGCCACAGGCGTTGAGAAATTCCAGAAGCTTGTTAATGACAGGTTGCATCCATGCAGCTCGCGTGAATTATAATCCAGAGGGTGGGAGTGTGTGAGCCTGGTTCTGCTGGAGGTTTCTTCCTGTAGGGAAGGGAGTTTTTCCTTCCCCCTGTTGCCTTTGTGCTTGCTCAGGGTGGGAGACTGCGACGAAGTGAAGATTCAACTTGTCTGCCAGTTTCCTTCAATAGACAGATAACTGTTCCTAACTGTCTTTTTTATGTACGTGATTTGGTGCTTTATAAATAAACTGAACTGAACCAAATTCAAAATTGAACATGTGTACTTTTAATATCTCATGAACCACAGAACAGACTGTTATAAAGTTGTCAAAAAGTAATTATTGGATGTTCATCTAAAATGAACTGAATTTACTATGGCTGCTGCGGCTAACCAGCATTAGCAACTACAAACATATATTGAGATAACGTTTGATGTGGTAGTAGCTGAGAGTCACCCTCATCACCTACTTTGAGCACTAACAGATCCTGAAAGAGCTCAAAAATAATGCATGGGCTCTTTCACACTCATTACAACCTTCGACTAAAACAGCTACATCTCTGTTTCTTATTTTTATGAAATGACCTTGGTCTAAACCGTTTGGAGAAAAAAAAGATAACAGACATTCATTCAAGGAATGCTAGGCTTTCAATTTGATATAAAACCAACTGATCCAAAGCACACAACATGAATTTACTGCTAGTTTGGAACTAAAGTCAGAATTTCTCCCCAACTTCCCCATAAGACTAACTTCTGGTGAGATCACAGCTGCCTTCACTTTAATGTCAGCATCAAAAGTGCAGATCTACTTGACAGCTGCTGTTCAACAAACTGATCAGCATGCTGACAAAACAATCTAGAACAGCATGCACAATGGTTCAAATGCACACAAATATCAGATTTACGCACACGTAAGGCAAATGATTATTCACCCTCATGGTTTACGGCTCTAAATAAACACACCCCGTCTGAACAACTGAACAAGAAAATGCACCATCATGCCTGCTCCCCCAGCTTTCATTGGCTCAATTTTGATCAGGCATCAAAGTTCCTGATAGGCTGCCACGGCGACGGAGTGTTGTTGCTGTTGCTAGGATCCTGTTGCCAGGACGGTTGCCAACTCAGAAAGCTCAGCAGGATACATGTAATGAATCACGGATGGTTGATTTTTCTCTAAGCACCCTAATCTGCGATGCAGATGAGCCCAAAGCTCGTCTTCCCTCTGCCCCCGGACGCCACCCTCCTCCTCCAAGCTCACCCCAAACCTCTGGATGGGTTCATTAAAGAAAAAAAAAAAAAAAATCAAGTTTAGATTTCAAGGGCTGACATTTTCAATGGTTCTGGCGTTGCCTTGGAGAGGGGAGTAGAATAATGATGTCAATTGTAATGCAAAACAGAAAGGTTAGAGGTTGTTATCAGTTATTTGAAGGAGAGACAGAAGGCCAGAGACCAGCCATGACCCCGGAGATTATTCTTAAAGCTATGACTCGTCAAGTTTGGACAGTCTCACACCTCCTGAAAAGGAGGACAGGTGCAGATTGTTATTATTATTATTTTTTTTAATTCCAGCCGGAACAAGAAAAATAATCATCCAACAGCATCTGTGCAAATTTAAAACAGTGTGATTTAATGCCTGGACGCAGAAACTCATGAACGAGTGAATAAGATTTCCAAAAGGTCATCCATTGTGGTGCAAATGCGCTGTTGTGACTTAACAATCGCTGTGGGCATTTTTAATATCACGCTGCTGCACTGTGCAGGAGGGGGGCGCAGGCCTGTTTAGCAGCGAACACGACAGGGAGGATGTTTCAGCCCCTGACT